ATTTGAGGAGTAATTTGAAGGCACTCATTCACAATTCTTTGTCGCAGGTCTTCTAATGAGGTTGGCTGAGTAGCATAGATTTTGCTTTCTAAATGACCCCACATAAAGAAATCCAAAGGTGATAAATCTGGCGATCTTGGGGCCATGCAATGGCACCTCTTCTACCAATCCATCGATCTGGAAACGTCTGATCTAAATATTGTCGAACAAGTAATGCGTAATGTGGTGAGGCACCATCCTGTTGGAACATCGACCTATACGCAATGTACCGCCGATCATTCTGATTTTCATTATGGCTGTTAATGCAGGATCTATGGCGTCTTCCAGTAATTCCAAATACATTTCATCGGTCGAATTTCCAGGTAAGAAAAAATACCAGCCCAAACATTTGATTTTTGTGGCGGCTGTGTATGACCTCATGATAAATTCTGGGATTAGAATCGGACCAATATCGGCAGTTATGACGATTTACTACACCATTTAAGAAAAAGAAACATTCGTCGGAAAAGCAAGTGTTGAATAGAAAATGTTCATCATTTATAATTCGTTCACTCATATCTTCACAAAATTGTAATCGCCGATCAAAATCGTCTTCATTAAGTTCTTCTACCAGGTGAATTTTATACGGATGAAAACTATGGGCCTTTAGAATCCGTTGGACATTACGTCGGCTAACACCACACACAGTCTCCAATTTGCGGGTACTTAACGTAGGATCTACATAAACTTGCCCTAAAACCCCCACTTCTATTGCTTCGTTCCTTATGGGATTTTCAATGTTGCGTTTTTAATTGGCGACTGACCCAGTTTCCCGAAATTTAGCTACAAGTTCTAGAACATATTTTCGATGCACATTACTGTTCTCATGTCGCTCATTAAATATTTCTGCTCTTCTATTAGCGCACTGATTATTTCCGAAAAATATTTCGATAATTTCAACTCTTTCTGCTGTGGAATATACCATGGTTAATTTATGTAATAACGCGTTACAAGTTATGTTAGCAACAAAGTTTAGTCAAATCAATCGCAAACTATGTACTAAATTTAAATATTTAAAATAAGTACGAGATATTTCCTTATCTTTCTTCAAGAAATAACTTTTTTGCCACACAAAAATGCTCCAATAGCTATTTTCAACAACAGAATGATGAACAAACCATGGGCGTAGTGAAGAAAAGCATTTACTTATTAAGTAAATTCTTTTAATAAAATTTCTTCTGAAAGTAGTACAAACTAATCTGATGTACCTATTAAAGTCTACTTTAAGCTTTAAATCAATAAGTCTTCAAAACTACTGAACTGAAGTACATTAATTTTATATAATTATAAAGGGAATGAATTGAAAGACCTTTAAAATAAGGTATCACTCGACCCCCCTTTCTATTTAAGATTTTAGTTTTGGTGTCACCCCCGCCCAGGGAGCTGCATGTGTTAACGTGATTTTTTTCCAAACTTCTGTCCCCCTCGAAAACAAAATCGACGGGTCTGAGCGTTTTTCCAAAAAAAACTGAGCTGCCAGTAAATGCGTCTGTTTGGTTTTCGATGCGCCACCCTGTATATGTATTTTTAGACAGAATAAAGTTAATCATCTTGAAATCCAGTTGTGGTACTAAGGGCGCAAAAGCCCGAAATAGGTAAATCTATTACAGGAGTCTGGAAGAGCTTGTTTCATACACCCGAAGGATTCTTTTACGAACAGCGACGTGGCAATTTAAAAACTGGATGTCGGCTTCACTGACGGCCCGACACCAACGTTCTTTGATTTTATGCGTTCAACTTTAGAGTTTCAATATAGTGGATGCCATGGAGAAGTACAGTGCGAAAGAGCTTGTTTTATGAGCTCGAAGTTGAATTCTTTTATGAACAGGGACGTAGATATTTAAAAACTGGTTGTAAATTGGAGAAGCAGCTTTACTGACGGCACCACACCAACGTGTTTTGCTTTTATGCGTTCAACTTTACAGTTCCAACATAGTGAAATCCATTGTGGAGGACAGTTTGGAAGGTCTGGTTTTATACAGTCCAAGTAAGATTCTTTCATGAGCAGGGACGTAGAAGTTCACATGAAAATTGGAGAGATGACCGTGAATACCAGTGTGTTTTGCCTCCACGTGATCAACTTGAGAATTTGAATACAATAGAAGCTATCACGAACAAAGGTGTTTATACGCTCGAACTAGATTATTTCCTGAACAGGGACGAAGAAGTTTTAGTACTCTTGGTGCAATGGACGCATTCAATATACTCAGTTCAACTTATGAAAAGTGAGCCTAATAGTAATAAAAGTGGTAGTAGTGAGGGAAAGCGAAGCCTGGCAATTAGGCTTATTTTGGCCCCTTTGTCGACCCCGTGTGTACCAATACAGGGTGTTTCAGTTTATTGTTGCATAACTTTGAGATTCGATAGAAATTAATGCATAAAGTCTATATAAACATGGGTCGAAAAATCGTGGCTTCCGAACTACAGGGTGTTTAAATTTACTTTCTAAAATAGTTTTTTTAAATATTTCGAACAATATTTGATGTATAATAGTGAAAATTGGTATACAAGGGTTTTTTGGTACGACAAAATGAACCATGGGCATAGTTTTACTATAGCCGCTAGAGGGCGCTCTCTACTGTACCCTACTCTACTGTACCGAAAATTTTTTATTACTGCAATTTTTTGCTTTTTGAACAAAAAAAACCGATTCTTCGCACTTTTCAACATAAAAAAGCTCTCTTGTGAATTTTCGTTATAGTTAGCCGTTTTTGAGATATTTCGATTTTTAAGGTTCGATGCATTTTTAATTATTTATGATAAAATAACGAAAAAAAGTCAGTATCTCGATAATTTTTAGAAGTAGGTTGTGCCTGCAAACATTTTTGAAATTGAAAGCAGAATAAGGTTAAACGTCAATTAGTTGACAGTTAGTTTTGTGGTCTATTGAAACCTGAAACGTTTTTTTGCAATTGTGAATGCATGAAATTTTGTTTCTTTTACCTGTTTTTTTGTGTAAGTTTTATAAAAATGCCATTTTTATTCTCCAATCAAGAGTTAGCGGATATTCATTTTGTGTATGGCTTTGTAAATGGAAACGCAGCAGAAGCAGCCAGAGAATACGCACGAAGATTTCCAAACAGACGACATCCAACTCGCTCAGTATTTGTAAGAGTGCATCGCCAAATAATTGAAAAAGGTTTTGGAAATCTCCAAAGGGATCAAAACATAAATGTTCGTCAGCGCAGATTTACCCGTATGATTCTGCGTGAGTTTGATAGAGATCCGACCACAAGTGTTAGGAGAGTTTCTGGTGCCTTGGGAATTTCAACAAGCCATGTTCACCGTGTTCTTAGAAATGACCGTAGACGTCCTTACCATTTGCAACCTGTGCAAGGACTACAACCAGGGGACGGAGAACGAAGAATCACATTTTGTTAGTGGATTCTTGATAGAACTGATAATAATAGGGAGTTTTTAAGTAACGTTTTATGGACCGATGAGTCATGCTTCACTAGACATGGAGTGGTAAATTTTCATAATCAACATATTTGGTCGCATGAAAATCCGCATGCAGTTCGGGAAAGAAATTTTCAGCATGAATTTAGTGTGAACGTGTGGATTGGTATCTACCGTAATCGAATATTTGGACCCTACCTTTTGCCTGCAAGGTTAAATGCTGCGACCTTCTTGGAATTTTTAAAGGCTGAACATGCAAATATGTGGGATGATGTTATGTTAGATTTAAGAAGATTGGCCTGGTTCCAGCTTGATGGTTGTCCAGCTCATTATTCGAGAATAGTTAGAAACTGGCTGGACGAAAATTATCCAGAAAGATGGATCGGCCGTGGAGGACCAGTCGCCTGGCCTCCACGATCCCCTGACCTAAATCCATTAGATTTCTTTGTGTGGTGATTTCTAAAAGAAAAAGTGTACCAGACTCCCGTAACCACAAGAGATATGCTAATAGACAGAATCAGGAATACATGTGATGAAATAAGGCCTTATTTGAATAATGCTATACCACGTTCGATCATTCGTAGATGTGAATTGTGTATTGAACAATTGGGTTTACATTTCGAGCAACTACTTTAGATTTTGTATGTTTGTCCTAACTAGCCAATAGCATTTTAGTTGTAAATAATTAATTTAATTTGTTAAAAATAATATTGGAGAATTAAATAAATAAATATTCTGTTTTTTTGTGTTTATTTGGAGTTAGGAATTATTGCTGTGTTTAAAAACACAATCTAAACGATCATCTTAATTACATGTAATGCCCAAATCGAAAATGTAAAAAAAAATATTATTTTCCCATAAATAATTAAAATGCATCGAACCTTAAAAATCGAAATACCTCAAAATTTATAACGAAAACTCACAGGAGAGCTTTTTTATGTTGAAAAGTACGAAGAATCAGTTTTTTTAGTCAAAAAGCAAAAATTTGCACTAAAAAAAATTTTTCGGTCATTTTAATACACTACAGGTACAGTAGAGAGCGCCCTCTAGCGGCTACAGTAAAACTATGCCCATGGTTCGTTTTGTCGTACCAAAAAACCCTTGTATACCAATTTTCACTGTTATACATCAAATATTGTTCGAAATATTCAAAAAAAACTATTTTAGAAAGTAAATTTAAACACCCTGTATTTCGGAAGCCACGCATTTTTTGGCCCATGTTTATATAGACTTTGTGCATTAATTTTAAAAGTTCTGTCGTATCTTAAAGTTATGCAACAATAAACTGAAACACCCTGTATATGCTTATCTACTAAAATTAAATATCGAACATTCCTGATGGTCGAATGAAGTTTAGGATAGAACTTTATGGTTTTTTGACTAAGTGAAGCCACATAATTACATTTAAATTACTTTTTGCTACGTTACGGCCCCCACTGTGTTATTAAGATGGTGGGTCGCAGAGGCGTTCATGCCCATTATGTCAGTCTCTTACACTGCTTTCTGCGAGGAGCAAACAGAACTTTTGTTGTAAATGAGTAGTTATAATAGGGATAACTCACATGGTAATCAATATACTCCTCTTGATGATGGTGGTGTCCGTGTCCGCCATCACCTCCTTCACCCCCTTCACCTCCATGCGTGATCTCATTGCTGATTCCCTCGTGCTCGACAATCTCGTAGCCGCCTCCAAGATGGCCGCCCTCGAGGCCTTCAAAATGGCCGCCGCCGCCTCCACCGTAGTGCTCTAGCAAGCCGCCTGGTCGCGCGTCTATACACCACGCGAAGAATGCGACTGCACACACCTGTACACAAAATACAAAATGCTTGAGGCCAATGAAGAACAGTATTCAAGATTGTTTCACTATTTCAATCCCTTGGAGATAGTGTCTTACGGTATCACAAAACTGAGTTACAAAGACTTACGGAAACCAAAATTAATGACTCTCGCGCTCCTTACTCGTAGCGGCGCCGCCACTGTGCCGTTTTCGAAAATAAAGCTCTCTCGCCGACTATCATATCGCCGTACAAATAAAGTTACATTGGCTGCAATGGTTGCTGAGATTAGGCACTTGATCAAAAACACATAGACACCGACAAACAGACCGACGAACGTAAGTGACATCAATCTTGTCTATTTTCATAACTTTTGTCAAGGAGTGCTTAATATAAAGCTTCGGCGTATTTGTAACTAACCTTAATAAAGTTTTTTTCAAAAGGGACTAATACGTATTTGTCGAAGGAGATGAAATTAGATATTTTCTTGAGAATCTAAGTACTAATATTTTTTTTTAAAATGCGTTGTCCATTTCGGAAAACAACTCAGGGTCACGTCCCTTTTTTTAGATTTCTTTTCAACTTCCTGCTTGCAGCAGTATTCTGAGTCCGTTTCATCTGATAATTTCATGGTGTGTATAGAGATGACTACAAAACAATGTTTCCATTCCTTTTTTTGTCAAAAAATGCATTTTTTGTGCATTTTATTGTGCATACTTTCTTAAATCGGAACTTGTTAACAAATATAAGTACAGCTCTTAAATTGTATGTGAATATTCATCTTCCATGGAAGAATGAAACGAGTGTTCTTGTCTTATCTTGAAGTCCCGTCTCGCAGCAAGTTGAGTTTTCAAGAAAAGCAAAGATTTTTCCGAAAGGAAAACTGATAAGAACAAAAGTAATCACTCGTTTCATTCTTCCATAAAAGAGGAATATTCACACACAATTTCAGAGTTGTACTTGTATTTGTCAAAAAATTTCCGATTGAAGAAAAAATGCCCAATAAAATGCACAAAAAATGCATTTTTTGACAAAAAAATGAAATCCTTGTTTTTTAGTCATCTTACACTTACACACTTTGACATAGTTTGACGCTCCTAATACTGGACTATAGAATGAAAATGTAAGCAATAAGCAATACCGACTAAAATTAGCTGAAGGCTGAAAATAAATATATGGACATAAAACATTTCTGAAAAATATAATTTGATTAATCTAACACCTGGAACATATCCTTCGGCTTTCAGGTGATAGGACTCCATGGTTGTATTGCCGCTAAATGAAACCACATATGATTAAATAACTTTTTACTAGTAAAGCTTCGGTCACTATGGTGGCCTTTTTGGATATATAAATGACATTGACAACAAATGAGAAATAGACTGGGAGGCAGATATACATAAAATCATAGTTGGTTGGACTTTAGAATACAAATGACAATGACAATATATACAGGGTTTTCAGAACTTTTCTTTTTAGGAACGACTACTTTTGAAATAACTTGGCTAATGGGCGGCAACACAGCAGCCAAAACGTGAAAAAAAATACCCACCATTCGTTAAGGAGTTTCATGTACCCCCCCCCATATGTTAGGTTTGTAAATACTGCTTGAAGTTATAGCCCTTCGATTCGAAAGCAATATTTTTACTTCCTTCTCCTTCAATATTTGGGGCTGTCTCAAAATTTGAACTTTAGTTAACAGAGCGTATAGATCAGTCAACAATAAGCAAATTTTCTTGGTAACACTTCCACCAATCGTTTCTAAAGAACCGAAATTGGCATATACCTACAGCAGTTACGAACTGATTTGATGTTAATTTTCTGTGAGCGTCTACAAGATTCTATTGATACTACGTGAGTGTATTCAAAATGTCATCTTTAATGTTTACGTCAGAGCTGGGAAGGTTTGTTTATATCGTGCAAAATGTATCTGTGTGGACACAGCAGAAGGCATACGTTGCAGATATAGGAGGAACTAATGAAACTCGCGTTTTTAATCGAACGGCGACAACTACAGGCAGTATTAACAAACGTAATATCTGACAGGGCGGTACTTTAAATTCCTTACTAAATGAATAATAAGTACTTCTCTTCAATATCTTATTTACGTTTCCGCTGGTATATCACGGTACGTTAGGTTTGTTATTTCATACGTAGTTGTTTCTGAAAACTAAAATCCTAACTCTCACGACACCCTGTATACATTGTTATTGTTATTTGAATTTTAAAAATTTTCGAAATTTTGGAAACAAAACCAGCACGTGAAGAGCATGATTATATTAGAAAATATAAGGTTTCATGTACTGTCATTGGTAACTCTGTGAACTGTGGAGGCTAATTTTCCATTGATTGATATTTAGGATAATCCAGGTTTTACTGGATATAACAATTTTTCAAGATCCGCATTTATTTGGGAGAAAACCCTATATGTCGGACATCTCATACTGCAGATGAAAACGTACTTTTAATTTTGATTTTCGTAACTTTATACATAATAAGTAGTTATACCACTAATGAGGCATTTCTGAAAATACTATTTTATAACTTCTAACTTCCTGGATACGTATTCACATTTCTTTAATACCTTTTTACCAACAGTTTTTAGTAGCACAACCACACGTTTGCTTCGACAAGGTAGACCTTTAAAATATTTGTTATAACATGAATATATCACACCACCATCACACCAGACATAGAATTAATAATAATATACGAATACCCCAAGTTCAGAAAGTCAAAACACGACGAAGTTATACCTATCCCGGTCCTGCATTTTATAGAGAAATTCCGAATGAAATTAAAAAAACCTTCAGGATCTTTATCTTCAAAAATGAGCTCAAAGAGTTGCTTCTTAATACCCCCGGATCAAGAATCAATCAGCTATTAGACAGAAAAAATGTTTACGATAATTGTGAATAGAATAACACTTATGAGCATATACATACATTTGTAAACTAATTTTAAAATATTTACGTATTGTTATTTTGTTAGCTCTTGAACAAGGTTCTGTGCGTTTTACCGATTATTTGCTACTTTAGGCAAATGAAAATTATTATTATTCAGATAGTTGGGTCTTCTATGATTTCTTTGTTATTTTTTGTAAGTTCTTGTACATGAGATATACCGAAAATACTGTTCATGCGAGCTGCAGCTTTCTTATGTTTGCATACCAATATACCTTGATTTCCTGAACTATAACGCAAGATCTCCGATCACTCCGAGTGGTCACAGCTTCCGCGCGGCGCACGCAATTCTTAAACCGTAACAACAAACGCACTGTATATGCACATGAATCGGCTCTACTTACTATGTAAAATTGCATGGCTTCACTGTGATTTTTTCCGGGGGAATTCCAGCGTTTCGGATAGGACTGATCCCCCGATGACCGCCGCTGTGGTTTTATACTAAACACTGGTGGTGGAGGATGTGGATGTGAAAGGACTCTTCTTATCGGGGGACCAAATATCGGATCGCCCACCAGGATCACCGGGGTGGGTGGACGCTTTTTCAAATGTTGTAGTAGGCGTGTAGTTAGTTGGGCGAGAAAAGTGTTTTTTGATAAAGCTAAATCCTTGTTTCTACCATCAAACACTTGCTGGTTTTAATGTACGGCACATAGTCGTATTTCAATTTCATCCAAAAAAATTGGACAAATATATATTTTGTACGCAAGGAATGGTGACAAGTGAATATGACTAATTACTTCTCCGACATGAACTTACATCTGTTTTACCTTTTTTCGAAACATTTTCATTTTCACGCTATGCTTATAACTCCACCCCACATGACTGGTTTTCAAACTTACGAACATACTTTAGTGTTCACCCTTCGTCGAGTGACAATTTAACATATAGCAGTTAGGTTACGTTTACAGTTTTATAAACTACCTACTTTGGTCAGTCTATATGTATTATAAAAACATTCAAGTGTCGATTTTAATTATTTAATAGTGTTTTAGAGTAGCGCTATATAGTCGTGTCCGACTGTTGGACTATTTTACCCCTGAAATTTTTTCAAAAATGGTCAGGACCGTCTGATACGTCAAAAAACGAAGCAGGGGCGATTTCGATTCCTTTCGTTTTGGCATTTTTATCCGTCGCGACTAAAGCGATTTTCAAAAACTAAAAAGCTTTTTCGTCCTTGGCATAGCAGAAACCTTGTGTGGAAATTTCATTAAAACCCGGGCCAAGAATTACCGGCCAGAAATGACATGTTTTTTTATGATGTACATACCATATTATAACATCCAAACAACGTCTCATTTTCGAAATGTTTTGCATTACAATAATTCCTTGCCAAGTGGCGAAGGAAGTAAGAACTAAAAGATCTCAACAATTTTACTTTCTCCGCTACAGGCGAGGGAGTATTGTAATCGCGAAAAATTTATAATCAGGAAAAATCATGTTACTTGATTTTGTCGGTCTATACGCTAATTCTTGGCCTGTACTGGCAAATTACTTCTTGGGTTTTGATGAGGCTCTTAGACAAGGTTAATACTGTACCAATGACAAAAAAGATTTGTAGTTTGTAAAAATCGACCCAGTGGCGGAGACGGAAAAAAATTGTTCAAATTGTTCCAGATTCATCACTTTCAGCAACTTTTTTTGGTGGTTAAGAATTTAAGGTTGGGGGAAGGAATTTTTTGGTGTTAGTATATTCATACGCTTCGAGCGCCGATAATTATACGCATCTATTAGACATATTCCACGCACCATAGATCCCTATACATTTGCCCTTAAGACTTAGAATAATGGAGAACTGTCTTCAATATGCGTATCTGCTTCTGCTCTCTGGGTGCACAGACGGGCGTCACGATCTCAATTAGTGTCTGTCGTTACTGCTGCGCTGCCGCGCTACAAAGCTTGACGCATCGAGTGGTCAGGTGTGGGGCAAGAGTGACGTTGAAAGATGGACGGTACTACCGGTAGAGTAGCGAAAGGATGTCTATGGACTAATTCTATAGACGAGTTTGACTAGCTTGATCCTTATAATCTCTGTGTCATACATCTCCGAATCTAATGTTTTGCTCCGGGGGTATAACTTGTGCTGATCGTAATCCTTTATGAACTTATGACGGCGTTACGTGGGAAGTGCAGAGTCAACCCTCTTGATGTCATGTTTTTAAATGGAATGTTATACCTTTTTCTCACATATTCGGATATATATTTCCAAGAATGAAGATCGATATAACAAACTATAACGTGTTAATTGATTTACAGATGATTCATTTCACCAAACAAGCTCAACCTTGACAAACTGCCTGTCTGCGATTTTGGAAGATGCTAATCTTATATTCCAGTTTTATAAGAAACTCCAAAATGGGATGTCGCGTGGCTACCTGCTCCATTTAAAAAATGTTCTCTAGCGCCATCTTGATATTTTCGACTGTCACATTCAGGACAAAATATGGCAATCGGGCATCAATGCATCAAGCATACACATATACAGTGAAATCCATATACCACTGACGTCGTACCGTGTACGAGAGGAAAGCGCGAGAAGCGTGCAATACGTGTAAGATGGAAGCACCTCATAGCCTAGCAAACCGAGTGAGGAGGACACAGACGCAGCTGCGGCTTGCCGCGTGGCCATCGGCGCATTCTCTCTAATGATATTGCACGCTTCTCGCGCTTCTCTCTCATACACATTGCGACGTCATCCAAATCTAAACCTCACCGTATAGGGTCCCAATTCAGCATCACGATTTTAGGCAGTCAAAACGCTGATTTTGGGACATTTCCATGAATATTGGATTGCTGTATTCCAAGAATCCATAACGCTGACAACATGGTCTATATTCTTACAATTCCAATAGATTGGTATGGTTTTTGAATGACTCTGAAGATTTAAGGTCTATTTACCGCTCTAAATAAGTTTGTTATGGGAAGCATTAGCTTAACCTCCACAGTTAGATTTTTTGCTGCGTGACTTGAGAAATATTCGAGATTGCATGCAAATATACATAGTGCTCTCATTTTCGCCAGCTGTACAAAGTTTTATCTTGATTCACTGATCTTTTCATTGTCTATTTAGCTAAAATGCATTTAAATGAATGCTACTTTATAGATAACAACGTGCGTAATATATTTTCATTCCCAATGATTAGGTAATGCAAATGCATCATTTTACGATTCCTCAGATGTAACGAATGTTTCCTTTTGAACAAAAAAGGCAGTTTTTATCATCGTGGACAAATGTACTGCTGTACGTTTACGGAATAGAAAATCGACACCAGCTTCCGTTAATGAAACACATTTAAGCGAAACTAAACCGATCTTCTTTCCTGTAAATCAGTTCACACTCCACGTTTATGAAGGTTTTAGCTTGTGAAATTGAAAGATGGACAAGTAGATTGACTCAGTGCTGCTCGTAAATGTAAGCACACAGCTTCACCCTGTTGACAGAGACCTATTGAGTAATTCCCACAATGTTGCCAAAAAAACAGTAGATATTTTAAAACGTTGAAATACATTTGAAAAAAAACATAAAACCTTACTGCAGTAACTGCAAAGAATGAAGTTTTAATTGTGCTCTCGAGATGAATCTAGGAACATCCCTAATGTCACAATCTTTCAAGCCGTTTGGATTGTAACCCGTTGATAGAGTATTGAATGATGAAATTTTATACAAAAACTATCAAGCTGTATGAACTGCAGTTCATCAAATAGAATTGTCCACACACATAGGTCTTTTGACGTAGTCTGGTAGAAATCCATGCTTCATTGCTGAAGATCACTCCTAGTCAGTCCAAGAGGATAGCGAGATGACCTTCAAGGCTAGAACTACAAGGTGGTGGCCGCATTTTTGATTAGTCACTTAGTTGGGTGAATGAAGCCCCGTGTGCAAAACGTGCTGGAATACAGAACACCCTGCAAAGCATTATGTATATCTAATTGTCCTGCTTCGAGTAATAGCAGCAAGTCATGCATTAAAAACTTGTCATACCGAATTGTGTAGTTAGGAGATTATCGTGCATAAGGAACAGCTATATTGATCCTTATTAACTTGATTAGATTATTCCATTCCAATATCCGTTATTTTTATGACGAGGCGGAAACAAAAGCATTGGCGCCACGTAGTATGCGATTCATGATACATGATTCATTTTTCTCAAGCATATGGAGCATGTCGCGAAATTATTCTTTCACATTGACTTAATTAAAAATAACAGTTGTAGGTAACCCGCAGACAACCGGATGGTAAAATATCCGGTATGATGAATTCTTTAATATGAAATTCAGCAGACGCTACCCATAAGCTGCTATTTAAAAGATTTTTTTTATCGAGTAATGTCCAGTTGTTTATTATAAATACCACAATGAATGTTCACTACGCTCTCCAAATTAAGCAACAAGACGTTTTTATTTCTATTGCATTATCAACATACGACTTCTTTGTATATTATGTGCCACCTTTACTTCTCATTAATTTCTTGGTTACTTATTCTAGTTGATTATCAGGACAAAGATCCTTTTCGCATTCAACAGAACAATAAGCTCGTTTGTGTTGCAAAATTTTTTTTAACGTGTAGAACCTAATGACCATTTCTGGACCTGCTTTCATTACCTATTCTGCAATAAGGTAACTAATACTGTCTGAACTTTGTTTATAACTTGTCCACAAAATTCAATTAGTGCTGATGAGGCTTTATGAATGTCTAAATAATTTATACTTTTATTACTGGGAACTAAAAAATGCTACAGTTACAGTATCACAAAAACCTCAACCTTTGCAAAGCAAATGGTATCAAGTAAACTAACAACGTACCACCTACTAACTTACATCATGCTTCTATTTTCAAATTTCCCATTCGCAAAAATAAGATTTGACAGGTTACAAAATGTTTAGTATGCTTGAAAAAATGTTTGACTTTACCCTAAAGTACGTAAGTAAGATAAGTCTACGTGCTCAATAAGCTTTAAATCTATCCATTATAATACCTAAATTCTTAGAATTTTCATTATATTTCAAAATTTTATTTGTCATTTTTCCAGCACTTCTCTTTGCTGTCGTTAAAGGGTACAAACGGAGTTTATGACTACTGCTATGCTGTTCAATTTGGACAAGACCTTGATTTGTGAGATTATCCGCTGTTACCAAGTCATAACTTCTAAGCGCAGAAAGCATCTGAACATCGTCGGCAAACAATTACATGTCGCATTACTTTACCTTCTTTTCTGAATCTTTTCCCAATGAAGATAATTTTTGTCTGCCGTAAAGCACTGTTGATTTGGATGAATATTTTTGAAACAATTTTCGAGACTTGTTTGGCCAAACAAAGAATATTTGGTCAATCTTTCGATCCATAAAAAAACAAAAAATAGTTAACAAGAGTTACAAAAATGTGATCCTTAACTCGCGTAC